TCTGGCTTGTTCCACTGCTGCGGCTGCTGCTGCCTTAACGATTGCTTGAGCCTCTAGAACCGCAGCCTGAGCCTGATTGACAACCTGCGTTCCGAATTGTCTAGCCTCTTCCCTCGCTTGACCTTGGGCCTCCTGGACCACCGCTTGGGCCTGACCATAAACCGTCGACTCGAACTCTCTAGCCTGAACCATCACCTCATTGGGGTCAAGTCCTATGCTAATGTTTTGTTGATACAACCTCACTCCCGAGCTATCCTGAACCCCAGACCCTTGGGAACCCTGGCCGGTAGGAACGTATGGAATGCTCCGGGCTGGTGCAGCTCCTGTGCGCACGATGGGGCCATCATCTGGGCTCCGGTCGTGTGGAGATTGGTTGGCGAATGGCACCAACGAACCACTACCAGGGCCTTTGTCGGAGGTTGGGGATTGCTTAAGGTGAGGTCCTTTTCTTACTGTTGGCGATGGGGAAGAGCTATGGCTACTACGCGACCCTCGGGAGGACCTGGAGGAAGCTCTAGCCGGCAATGCCCTAGCCCCACTACTGGATGAAGTAATCTGCAAGGAGCTTTGCTCCTCTGACGACATTTCGTGGGACATGATTCAAGCAATTGGGGACTTAAGCGGGGCTGGCGACTGCCGAAACTCCCGTGTTCTTTTCAATCCCTTGCGCCCTCACCACTCAGAGATGGCCGGAAGGACAAGGTCGCACAGCTCTGTGCGGCGGGCTGGGTGAAGTACCAAGCCGTTCCCTTAAACTCAGCAATGATTGACGGTTTATCGTCCACGTGGATCACTGGGATCCCGTCGCTCAAAGATGAAGCTGAAATCGCCGACCAGAGTCGCTGGGCCTTGTTCGGTCGCCTGATAAAGAAAAGCGGCAAGCTACGCACGTTATACCGAGCTGAGATTGCCACTTCGCGCACGTACTCCAACGCGTGCTCAATCAAGCTTTCAGTTGAACATTTGGAGTTGACGAGGACCAGTATATTGCCGCGTCGAGACAAGTGTTCGAAAAGCAAGCGAGACTGCAAGAAGGTCCTATCCAGAACTCCGTGGTAATCTAGGGAGAGGATATGGGTGACGCCTCCTTGCTCGCCAACCGCGCGATCAATTGCCGCAGCAAGATAAAGCGGATTCTCGTCGCACCGAAGCAAAGACAGTGGCTTGGGCGGTGGACCTGACGGCTCGACTGGGCGCTGCTTTGGCCTGGCCTTCTGCTTGGGTCTCCGTTCTGGGATCTCAGGCGCAGCAGTGGGACCTGTTGCCGAAATGTGCTGTGTTAGCACGGGTCTAAGGGGAGCAGAAGGGGGTTCAGGAGGAAGCGGTCTACCGGAGCTTAGCCTATCGGAACCACTTAACACACTGAAGTCAGGCTGGTCACGAACAGAAGGCGATCGCGACCTGCGCTCAAGTGAGCTGCCCAAGTGGGAAGATGAAGAAGCTGGCTCGGCGGATGAAGATGCTGGCTCTGCTCGCTCCGAAGTGTCCAAAGAATCCAAAGAAACCTCGGCCAAATCCTGTAGCGAAACGGGCTCCTCCAACACCGAGTCTGACTCAGACTCTTCTTCCTCCACCACCTCCTCCTTCGGAAGGAGAGGAGTCCCCTTATAGATCACGTACCCAGACGCAGATACCTGTGTAAGCCGCGCGCTTACTCTAAAGAACTTGGAGGCCAATGCCGGCACCTGCCCCGGAGGCTTATGGAACACTTCCTCGGCGAGGTTCGTCAAACTCTCTCGCCAAAGCTGAAGCAGCTTTATATGAAGTGTGCGGCGCTTATTGTTGGCGGCCCGGCCACCTCTATAAGCACGGGTGTCGGCTCCAAATGCCGCAGCAAGTCCAAAAAGCTCTTCACGGCGATCCGGTGACAGCATATACGAGTGAGACGAGGAAGCCGATGAACTCCAAGTCCCAATGCAAACCCCCGTGCCGTTAGAGTGGCTTGCAAATTTACCCCAGTGCCGGAACTGTGGCTTGAAGTTGATGTATCCCCCAATGCCGCTACTGTGGCTTGATGTTCCCCTTTGCCTGAATCGTTGGCTTAACTGTCCCTATGCCAGAATCGTTGGCTTAACTGATGGCCTATCGGATGATGCAGGTGACTTCGTCGGAAAACCACACTCAACCGACAGTACAACCAACCACAACCAACCAGGATGCGGCCGGTGGCTATGTGCCAACACGGCAGCAGAGGTGGAAGTGCTTTCCAATTGTTCCAGAATCCCAAATCTTATGAGATCAACCGAAACCAGAAATCGAACCTTTGATTCAATCTCAGCTAATCCTTCCAATCACCACGAGGCCTTGCTACCCTGAAGTCGTGAACGGACCTTTGGGCAAGGTGATTGGATTTCGGGTGTTCCGGGTGGCAAGGTGCCGACACCGGCTGTTCGGGAAGTCAAGGAAGATGTTGAGGATAGCAGGGGCTGTTGGCAGTTGCCGAATCAGCCCTGTACCTAGAGAATGGTCCAAGCTGTCTCCTCGACGCAGCAGGCGGAGGAGAGAGTGCGCGCCTCGACACACGATGTGGAGACACGAACAACAGCTATGGGAAATAACGAGGAACTTGAAGATAGATTGGTACAAAGGCGGTGTCGTCTATGTACCTAGGATGAGATGCGTGATGAATGCGATACAAGGCAATCGTGAGCTCACCTCTCCTGTCGAAGGAGCGAAGCAACTTACGCACAAACCTGCGCAACCTCACACGGACTCTAACCCAACGTTGGCGCCTAGCCAAGTATGCAGCAAAGAACCTCCTTAGGATGAAGATTCGGATATCGTAATACAGCTCTGTGAAGAAGTAAACCACACGTTCCCAAAGCGTAGGCCAACCCTCAGGCGTGGGCATACACTAATGATTCTGTGGTTCAGCAATATGGAAAGCTCCCTGTTGGCTGGGTGCCGAAGCAGGGGCTGAGGTTGGCAAGAATGTGAAAGAAAGGACTGACTCTACCCGGTGGTTGGCTCTACCTACACGGGGAGTACAGATAACAGTGCAAATATGGAAAGAGATGTGGAATGGCGGGTAGGTCTCTCACAGACCAATGACACTCCGATTTCAAGCTCTACCCTAAGGGAGCAATATGGAAGGTGCTATGGCGTCGGTAGGCTCCTACACTACCTACACCAAGCAAAGCTGAGGCTGTTAACCAGTTAATTGCAGGGCAATCTCTGATTCCAAGACACAGTAATGATAACGCTTCTTTTGTGTCTTGAGCCAAATATCGGTGATAACGTCTTCGAGTGAAACTGCTTCAAGATGATCTACATAAGAAGGGCCTGGGGGCTCGTGTTTTCTCAACTTAGGTACCCTACTTATAACCCCACTTATAACTACCCATGAACCTCCAAGTACCGCCCTAAACCCCACGTACACCCTCAACCCCTTCAGCCTAAACCTCGAAAAACCTTCACACCTAGCTCCCCGAAAACTCCTACAAAACCTTGCAAAACCAAAGCCCTCATCAAAACCCCTGCATAGACGCCTAGAATGCCCTGATGGCCCGAATAACCTTATACAAAAAACCTTCTAGATGGGTAGTTCTCTTTGGGGTCCCTTTTAGGGTTCCATTTTAGACAGTTGCCGCACTATTTTGGGGACCTAAGAAGGGACCCTAATTTAGAAAACTACCTAAATCCTGCACCCCGAGTATAGGGTCAGCCTCTCCGGGTGCAACTGCCAGGGTCACCCGCGTGCCGATCGCAGAGAAAAACCCGCCTGGGGACTCCGCATGGTCCCACTTTTAATTTTAGGGTTTAGGGTTTTGGGTTTTGGGCTTCGGAGTTTATGTCGTACAGCTAGCGTTGTGGGTGCTATGTCCTATTTTCAACTTTTTGGGTGCTGGGGCTTACTTTTAGGGCCTTGGGTTATGAATCTGGCGGGGAATTTGGGCCTCAGGGCAGCAGGTTTAAGGTTTGGAGTTGAAGAGCTTGCGGCGGCGTGGACCCTAAACCCTGAGCCCTAAACCCTGAACGCAATTAGGGTTCAGGGTTTAGGGTTTAGGGTCTAGCTTCCAGGCAAGGGCGGAAGAGACGACACCATCCCGACGAGAAAACGCAGCGGATGTCCCAGCACACCACCCCCTAATTTTCTGAAACTCGCATATAGTGTAATATGACAGGACATGATTCAAGGCTGGGTCTGGCCTGAAGTCGTCGACTCAGTTCCGGCGAAACCCGGGGCGAATAGCGTCGAAGCCGAAAGGCCTAAACCCCCTACTGTAAACCATAAATCCTGAACCCGGACCCCGCAATCCGAAATCCTAAATCCCTAAATCCCAAATCCCTGAACCCCGAAATCCTAAATCCCCAAATCCTAGATCCCTAAATCCCGAAATCCTAAACCCTAAATCCCGAAATCCTAAAACCCTAAATCCCTAAATCCTAACACCCTAAACCCTTAAATCCGAAATCCCGAAATCCCTAAACCCCTACACCCCTCAACCCCTAAAACCTTGAATTCAAACCCTGGAACCGACATCGGAGACCCTGACCCTCCCAGCCCTGGAGACCTACAGCGCAAACCCGAACCATTGAAGTTCTCTAATTCCTAAGGACCCCTTCGGGTTTAGGATTTTAGGGTTTAGGGTTTTGGGTTAAGGGTTTAGGGTTTAAGGTTTAGGGTTTAAGGCTCAGGGGGGTCTGGGGGAAGGGGGTACGGGGTAAGGGGCCTTTAATACATTTTAGTTGGACTTCCTACGGTCCAGAGGAGGTATAGTCCCCTACCCCCTTCCCCCCCACCCCCCTACCCCCCCCCCCGGGTCCCTGTGACTAATAGAAACCCGTGTCATGTAGAGGGTTTTGGGGTTTATGGTTGTGGAGTTAAGGATACGTTATTGCACACGTACAATAGGAACCCATAGCAGGTGCTCAGGCTCCTAGATTAGCACCCTAATCCTTAACCCTAAACTCCTGAACTCCAACACCACTAAGCCCTTGACCGCCTGGCCCAACCCCTACATCCTCAACCCCTAAACCCTCTGAACCGAGGAAGGGACTTAGTGCGTCTTTGAGGTCGTCCACCAAGACGGCACCTGAGCTTAGGGGTTGCGGTTTAGGGTTTAGGGTTTAAGGGTTCCTTTAAGGGTTCAATGATTACGTTAGGGCTTCCTTTAGGACTTCAACGGCTGCAGAAGGGTTCCTTTCGGGGTTACTTTTCAGGATTCCATTAAGGGTTAAACGGTTACTTTAAGGGTGTCCTTAGGGCTTGGCGGGTTTTTTGTTGGAGCTGCATTGCTTAAAGCAAGGGTTTACGGGATTTGCGGCGATTTCGGGTTTAGGCTTTACCCATAGGCCCCATAGTAGTTCCGTTTGGGGATTACCTTAAAGGGTTCTATATATGAACGCCAAAAAGGAACTACTACAGGGCCTCTGGGTAACGGCTTTGGGGTGGAGGAGATTTAGAGTTACTGTACGGGCTTTTGGGAAAACTGGGAGGACTTGGGGTGGTCTGAAGGGCAGGGTTCAGACTTCAGGGCATAATGTAGGAACCTGATTAAGAAACCCGGGCCCTATATCCCCCAAAATGATCGGATTCATCTAAGGAGCCCCAAGGTTCCTCCATCAGGTTCCTACATGAGCCTTCAGAGAGCAAAGGATTTAGGATCACTATGAGGGTTATCAAGGAGTCCGGGAGTTATTAGAAGGGGAACTCCCAGGGCTTAGGGAGGGCTGAGTATAAAATTGGGACTCCTCGCAGATCCTGCCTGGAGAAGGAAACCCCCATGAATCCAGAAGAGCCTTAACCCTACCGAAGCAGCGAGAAAGTTGGTACATCGCGATGCCCCAACCTAGAAAAGAATGAAAGCCCGCATACTTGCGGGCTTCCTAGCGCAGTGCTGGACCCAGAGACTCCAATATCCCTTAATTAAGGAATATACCTTGAACTATATATTAGATCTATATTAGGACCCCTAATATGATTTACCCCCCTAAATCCTATAGCTCCCTTCAAGGATCCCTGAAAGGAACCCTAGGTTTCTAGGTATTCCTTAATTAAGGGATACGAAGGCGCCTTGGGGTTCTTTCTCACGTCCAAGTTTTCCTGCCGACGGATATTTTGGGAGTTTCCGAAAATTCGGGGTACCATTTATAAGAGGGATCCTGCTATTGAGAGTACTATTCTAAGGTCCCCTAGTTTCGGAAACCCGGGTTCCTTTACAGGGTTCAATAAGGGGTCTATAAGGGATGTATAGTAGGGTTCTTTGAAGTCGGTGCGCCTCATTTTCCCTGGCATCTTCTGCGTGTGTTCAGGGTTTGCGTCGAGCATCCAGGAGTGGTGGGGGGGGGATGGGGGCTGGGGGGGTTGGGGGTGGGGGGGCTAGGAACGTCCTGTTCGACGACATTTCTGCTACAACATCGTCCAAAAAGAACAACATCTCCAAACCCCACAACAGCGGGTCGCAGCAGCTCCAACCCCGGAAACATTTACCTCTCTTAGAATCACAATATTCATAACAATATCAAGACTTAGCAATTCACAAGTATTCTTCGTATCCTGTGGGGCAAGCTTGTTCTGACTCAGTTCCTTCAGCGCTTGAAGTTGCACAGATTTGGACCTCTGTAAGGAATAGCTTCAGGCCTCAAATCTAGCTCATACTCACAAGTCCCACGCCTGCACTTAAAACAAACCTTGAAGCCGCCCAAACTACCAGGGAAAAAAAAGATGTAGGGGTCTAAATAATGATTAGTACCAGTTTGGGGGCTCCGTCCTGTAATTATGGTATAATGTGCCCCAAAACCGTCTTCTAATTATTAAGGCCCCTATGTTATCGACTCAGGTGTCGGATTCATGCGGCACGAGACCCTCCACGGACTGAAGCCTTGAAGAAACAGATATTCCCACCCAGCCCGAAACTGATGGGAGGCCAAAAAGGGGGTTTAAGATTTTGGGGTAGGGATTCCTTCATATGAACCCTATTATGGGAACCCTAATCCCTACTAAACCCCCATAGGCTCTCACAGTGACTCTGCGCTTCCCGCTAGCGCACAGTTTTCTTTCCACAGTCCTACACCGGCCAGACTTACCGGGGACACGGAAGTCGTCGAATTAGGCAATACTTTGGTCACCTTGACGCTTCCAATCGATCGATGCCACTCCCCATAGGCCATAGGCCCCATAGTAGCTCCTTTTTTGGGGGGGTTCATATTTAGAATCCTACAAGGTAATCCCCAAAAGGAACTACTATGAGGCCTATGGGTAAACACCCGGGCGTCGCCAACGCTGTTCGGAACCTCGAGCCTCGCTGGTGTTCGAAAACCTGGCATTCGAAGACCTAGACCTACTAAACCCTACCTATTTTGTGGGTTCGTATTATAAACCCTAATTTTTAATACGGGTTTATAGGGACCCTACAAAAAAGTAGGGTCTGGTAGGTTAAGGGAGTTTTAATGCAACTTCCAAAGCAATCGCGCTCCTGCCACAGAAACGTGCGAAATTGGAGGGATGCGCATCCGCAGTCCCGTGCGTTTCCGCTCTCGCCATCACGGGTACGACTCCCGGCTCCATCTCGAAAACTACCACACTCGCACAACTACTTTGGGCTGCGACTCGTGGTACCACCACAGTACAGTGCTTGTTCTGGGGTGTTCCAGTAGTGCTGGGTTCTTGTTAAGGAACTTAATTTAAGCTACCGTAACAGAGATCTCTTGACTCTATAGTACATAACATGGCTTCCTGATTTCGGTAATTTCAACTAAATTCCTTAACAAGAACCCAGAGTGTGATGCACATGTTGGACAGGTGCTATAGGTTGGACCTTGGCTACGCAGAGCTTGCACTGCTAGGTGCACCATGCATGGCTGGGCCCTCAAAAGGGCAGACGACATCTAAACAGACCCTCTTTAAAACAAACGATCAGTCCGTAAATCCTATTAGCTGAACAGCTTCAACTTAAGCACAAACTCTTTAGCTTTGACTCTAAACCTTAAGCCCTACTGCAAATTCCCTAAGCCTCTGTAGGCCCCAAAAACAAGCTACAGAGTCCATGTGTAAAAGTTTAAATGCTCATGAACCCAGCAAGACATAGAACCTTGCAACCCCATATTGCACATCAACATGCATGTACGTACATACCTATGCGCGTTTGTACACGGATGGGTACAGTCCCAAAACCCCTAAGCCCAAAATCCCTTGCAAATCCTGAATCGTAAAACCCTGAACTCTAAGCCACTAAAACTCTAAACCAAAAGCCCTAAACTCTCCAAAAACTTGAAACCCTACAGTATAGAAACCCTACTATAGATCCCTTATCAACCCCTTATAGAACCCTTTAGGGGAGACTTGAGGAGGCCTTCGATGATGGCCCGCGCTTCCGCGCGAGTCGACTCCGACTGCCGTGGCTCAGCTCCTGGAGTCAAAGGGGAAAAGGAGGGACCCTTTAAGGGTCCCTTTAAAGGGATCTATGGGGATTCCATAAGGGTATAGGGTTTAGGGTTTAGAGGTTTGGGGGTTTAGGGGGTTTAGGGGAAAAGGAGGGACCCTTAATGGGGACCCCTACCCTATAATGGGGCTATAATGGGTATATACTAGCTATATTAAGGGTATATACCTGGGGGTCCTTATTAAGGGTCCCTCCTTTTCCCCTTTGATGGTGGCGAGAGAAGGGCTGCCTTTTAATACTCAGAAGAGGGTTCCTTTAAAGGGATCCTTTAGAGGGGTCTATGAGAGATCTGTAGTAGGGTTCTATAACGTAGGGGCCTTACTAATTCGAATGGGGTTCTTTAAAGGGTTCTATAAGGCGCGCTCTGCTAATGTAGGAACCTTGGGACCGTATTAGGGTTCTGTAAAGGTTCCTTTAATTAAAAGGTACTAGAACGGTACTATAAGGGTTTTGGGGGTTTGATGTAGGAACCTGATTAAGTAACCTTGGGTCTTTATTCGGGTTCCTCAGATAAATCCTTCTGTTTTGGGGTTATAGGTCCAGGATTTCTTCATCAGCGTCCTACATTACTAAGGTTTCTTTGCACTGTCCGTACATCCCAATCCCTGAAGCCTGCGTCTTACTGCCCTAAACCTAAACCCTAAAACCTAAACTCTAGACCCTAGAACCCTCGATCCTGTACGTCAAAATCCTCGACTCATTCCGCTTCATTCCCTAAGAGCCCTGAAACCCGCAAATCCGAAAGCCCGGAAGCCCTAAACCCTAGACCCCCGCATAGCTCTACTTAGAGGATCATGGGACTTAGCAACTAGGGCTATAATTAAGGTAACTATACTTATAACTACTTATAACCACAATTGACGTTCTTATAACCATACTAACTAAGTCCCAAGAACCTCCAAGTATAGTAATCTCTGCGAATCCTGAACCCTACTAAACCCTCAACCCCAGTATCAACCTGAAATTGTCGTAGCCTCATAGCAAGTCTTACAGTAACCCTTGCCATAACTCTTACAGTAGCCCTTAACGAAGTTGTAAAAAGCAACGCTTTGCACAGCCGAACCGACTTCGGTGCTCGGGATTCACGGCTCGATGTTTCGTGACTCTACTTGGAGGCTCATGGGCAGTTATAAGTGGAGTTGTAAGTCCCCTAGTATGGGTTACAACGATAGTTACCCTACTTACAACCCCGCTTATAACTGCCCATGTACCTCCAAACAGGCCCTTAAACCCTATACCCCTATAGAATCCCTGTAGACTCCTTTAAAGGGACCTAATAGCTACCTTACTTATAACCCCACTTAGAACTGCCCAGGAGCCTCCAAGTAGAGTTGGGAGAAAAGAGCTGGGGGTTCCCAGGCTTTGAGGTTTAATGTAGGTTTAGGGTTTAGGGTTTAGGGTTTAGGGTTTAGGGTTTAAGAAACTTTGGGCCTTGAACCCAACCTTAGGATTCTATAAGGGTTCCTTTAAAGGGACTGTAAGGGTACTATAAGGGTTTTCAGGGGTTTGATGTAGGAACCTGATTAAGAGACTTTGGGCCTTGAATAGGGTTCCTTTAATTAAAGGGTACTATAACGGTACTATAAGGGTTTTGGGGGCTTGATGTCGGAACCTGATTAAGAAACTTTGGGCCTTGAATGGGGTTCCTTACATGAACCCTAAAATATATTTGGGGTCATAGGACCAGGGTTTCTCAATCAGGTTCCTACATTACTTAAAGGATCATGGGACTTAGTAACGAGGGTTATAATTAGGGTAACTATACTTATAACTACTTATAACCCCAATTAAGGTACTTATAACCAAACTAACTAAGTCCCATGATCCCCCCATTATAGACCCCTTTATCCCTTTAAGGAACCCTATTATAGAACCCTATAGTACCCTAAAAAGGAACCCTAAACCCTACTTACTAAGTCCCATGATCCTCCAAGTAGGAGAGGACAGGGTTCCGGATTTAAGGCTCAGGGCGCCGGGTTTATGGACCTCCTGACCGTCCTTTTTAGGGAAAAGCCAACAACCCAGAGACTCCAAAACCCCTCAATTAAGGAATATACCTTAATTTATACTAGGAGCCCTAATATGATTTAAGGTATATTCCTTAATTAAGGGGTTTTGGAGGTTCTGGGAAGCATTCAAATCCAAATCATTGGGCATTGGCCAGCACGAAGGGGTTTGGGGTCTAGGGTTTACGTCGCTAGAGACAAGCTCGTACAAACCAAACTGTCGAAGCGTAATGCCTCGGGTGTGCACTCGAAGAGCCTGCCGTCCTTTCTGTCTGAGTGCAGAGCGTTTCTCATCCGGTCGCCAATTCGGAATAGGGTTTCGGGTTTTTTGCAGCATTCGCATTGAACATACTAGGGACCATAATGGAATACTATTGACAAATTCTCCGACCCCTATAATACCATCAGCATCCAAGAAAACGAGGGACCCAAAAACGACTTGTCAGGCCCCAGAAATCATCGGCTCGCGGCCAGAAAAACTCGGCTGACTGGGGAGGCATGCGGACCTTCGACGGCACCGTCTGAGGGTCATTCTACGGTTTCCTTGAGAGTTGCGACAAGGGTTGCTAGAAGGAGTACTACAAGCATTCCGATATGGGTTAGGGCTGCTATACCGGCAATGTCGATGGAGGGTTCAGACCCTTGGCTTCCTGCAAAGATACTCAGGTTCGGCCGAAGAAACAGCTCAAAGTCGTGAACAGCGAACTCCTGCTCCAACGACATACCCTAAACCCTGAAGCCTAAACCCTTAATTCTAAACCGTGAAACCTTACCGTAAAAGTCCTCGGAAAGAGCCTAAGTTTAACTCAAGGGTGCAGGGTTTAGGCATCAGGATTGGGCTTTGCGGTTTAGGGTTGAGGGTTGAGAGTCCATGGTTCAGGGTTGAGGGCTCAGTTCTGGTGCTGCACTCGGCAACGGGGTTTATAAGTACTTATAAGTATAGTTACCTTATTTATTACCCTAGTTACTAAGTCCCATGATCCTTTAAGTACAGAGACATCAGACACAAACGAGGAGACTGGTCCTAACCTCCCCAACAGGACCCGGTCAACTGGTCCACGCATGTGCGCAGGAGGGTAGGTCGGCGGAAATTCTATACCGTAAGCCACATAGAAGCCCCGAACCCTAAACTCTACACCCTCAACCCTAAACTCTAAACCCTAAACCCTAAACTCTAGACCCTAAACTCTAAACCCTTAACCCCCATTCGCGCCCTGAACTGCGAACCTCCGAAGCCAGCCAGAAGCGCCAAAGCCTATACTTTTCCTCCCAAACCAGCCCTGAGAGCCCAATACCCCTTAATTAAGGAATATAGCTTAAATCATAATACGAACCCCCTTGTAGTTTAAGGTATATTCCTCAATTAAGGGGTATTGGGCTCTCTGGGAGTCTAAATATGATACTACACAGGGTCCATTTTTTTAGAAGGCTGGCCCACTATTTTGGGGACCTAAAAGGGATGTTATACCATAATTATAATATAGGAGCTCTTAAAGCCCTATTCTAACTGTTAAGGCCCCTATACTATAGAACCCTACTATAGATCCCTTATAGAGCCCTTCAAGGAACCCTTCAAATTTTTGCCTATGCTAATTATGAAGGCCCCTGTATGAAGGGGGTCTGCCAATTCTTGTGCCCCAGGACTTCGGTCATGCCACTGCTTCTACCTCGTGGCGAACTTGTAAGTATTGTCTCGGCATTAAATCCCTGTCTATTCGTAGTCAAGAATGCCATGCCCCTTCATCACAACGCCAGTATCTAGACCCCAAAACCCTTACTTCATTGCACACGGACGCGGGTCAGGAGTCAAAACCTCATGTTACTGACACCTTGCCTGAAAGACAGAACCCTAAACCCTAAACCCCAAAACCCTGAACCCTAAAACTCTACCCTAAACGCTAACTAACCCCTGGCTCTCAGAATTCCACCATTTAAAAAGCTCGGGCACCAAACATCGAATTTTGTCGACACATGGCCATAAGCCCTAACTCATCTCGCTTTCAAAATGAGACGGAAGGCCCGTTCACAGCCTCGATAGCCTTCCACTCGAGCCGCCAAGGTGGCGATCTGCTTCCCGTTTGGGAATCGATGGGAGAGCTCGAAACTCGTAGCCTATGACTGACATAACGGCAACCGTAGGGTTTAGGGTTTAGGTTAAGGTTTAGGCCTGAAAAATTCTTACTGAGCCTGCGACTTGTCTCAAGTCAGATCTACCGCAGCAGCTGACCCAGGCACGCCTGGAAGTACTTGGAGGCACCTGAGGCATGGGAAGAATCGCTTTCACACGCCGTGTCTGCTTCCTGTTCGTGTTTCGTCACTGTTTAGGTTGGTTCAGGGTTTGGGGTTTATCCTAAACCCCGAATTTCGTCGTTCCCTGGCTTCGCAGTGTATCCGGGCAGCACCTATAACCATAAACCCTACAAAATCCAATCACCCAACATTGGTCGAGTCTGCCGAGTCTGCCGATCGTCCATCTACACCCTGAGCACAGAACATCGTAAAGGCACCCACAATCACCAGGGAACATGAGAAACTGCAGAAGTAAGCCAAAACCGACAAACTATTTCGAGAGACCCACAAACCCTGTAAAGGCCTAAACCGAGAACAAAAAGCTGTTTCGACCTAGTCCGACCGAGTTGCACGGAATTTTCTGGATGTTGAGCTCTTGGAGGACCCGATCCGCAGAAGCGCAGAAGCAGCAGAAAGGACTGGGCGTTTTTCGAAGTTCGTAATGGGTCTGCTGAAAACAGCTGCTATTTCCTACTGACCCTACACCCTATACCCTGGATCCCTAAACCGCAAGCCCTAAACACCTAAAGCCCTAAAGCCTCAAGCCCTATTGAGTTGCTCCGAGGTGCAGGGCTTGCATCGGGCTATGGGCTCTGGGAGAAAGGCTAGAGGGGATTAGGGTTTAAACGCTTTAGGCTTGGAGTTTTGAGGGCCCCGGTTCCATGCCTTTTT